CCACCTTTTTCAAAACAGTTTTTAATTGCATATCTGAAGAAGTGCAAGCTATTGTTAATCACTCCCTGTTCACAGGCACTTTCCCCACTGCACTAAAAACTGCAATAGTGAAACCCTTTCTGAAGAAAAGTAATCTAGATTCTTTAGCTCTTAGCAATTTTTTGGTCTATCCCCAGCCTTCCATTCTTAAGCAAAATTCTGGAGAAATTGGTTTAAAAAAAGTTTTTAGTGCCAACTGTATTTATAAAAAAAAATCAAATCTGGTTTTCAGGCCCACCACAGCACAGAGACAGCCCTAGTTAAAGTGGTAAATGATCTTAGAGCCAACACAGATGCCAAACAGCTCTCTGTCCTCTTGGATTTAAGTGCTGCATTCAACACTGTTGACCATGATGTCCTTCTGGACAGACTGGAGAGGTGGGTTGGCCTCTGTTGACCATGATGTCCTTCTGGAGAGGTGGGTTGGCCTCTGTTGACCATGATGTCCTTCTGGAGAGGTGGTTGGCCTCTGTTGACCATGATGTCCTTCTGGAGAGGTGGGTTGGCCTCTGTTGACCATGATGTCCTTCTGGACAGACTGGAGAGGTGGGTTGGCCTCTGTTGACCATGATGTCCTTCTGGACAGACTGGAGAGGTGGTTGGCCTCTGTTGACCATGATGTCCTTCTGGACAGACAGGAGAGGTGGGTTGGCCTCTGTTGACCATGATGTCCTTCTGGACAGACAGGAGAGGTGGGTTGGCCTCTGTTGACCATGATGTCCTTCTGGACAGACTGGAGAGGTGGGTTGGCCTCTGTTGACCATGATGTCCTTCTGGACAGACTGGAGAGGTGGTTGGCCTCTGTTGACCATGATGTCCTTCTGGACAGACTGGAGAGGTGGGTTGGCCTCTGTTGACCATGATGTCCTTCTGGACAGACTGGAGAGGTGGGTTGGCCTCTGTTGACCATGATGTCCTTCTGGACAGACTGGAGAGGTGGGTTGGCCTCTGTTGACCATGATGTCCTTCTGGAGAGGTGGGTTGGCCTCTGTTGACCACGATGTCCTTCTGGACAGACTGGAGAGGTGGGTTGGCCTCTGTTGACCATGATGTCCTTCTGGAGAGGTGGTTGGCCTCTGTTGACCATAATGTCCTTCTGGACAGACTGGAGAGGTGGGTTGGCCTCTGTTGACCATGATGTCCTTCTGGAGGGGTGGGTTGGCCTCTGTTGACCATGATGTCCTTCTGGACAGACTGGAGAGGTGGTTGGCCTCTGTTGACCATGATGTCCTTCTGGACAGACTGGAGAGGTGGGTTGGCCTCTGTTGACCATGATGTCCTTCTGGACAGACTGGAGAGGTGGGTTGGCCTCTGTTGACCATGATGTCCTTCTGGACAGACTGGAGAGGTGGTTGACCTCTGTTGACCATGATGTCCTTCTGGACAGACTGGGAGAGGTGGGTTGGACCATGATGTCCTTCTGGACAGACTGGAGAGGTGGGGTTGGCCTATTGTTGACCATGATGTCCTTTCGGACAGACTGGAGAGATGGTTGTCCTCTGTTCGACCATAATGTCCTTCTGGACCAGACTGGAGAGGTGGTTTGGCCTCTGTGACCATGATGTCCTTCTGGGAGGTGGGTTGGCCGTCTGTTTGACCATGATGTCCTTCTGGAGAGGTTGGTTGGCCTCTGTTGACCATGATTGTCCTTCTGGAGGGTGGGTGGCCTCTGTTGACCATGATGTCCTTCTGGGACAGACTGGAGAGGTGGGTTGGCCTCTGTTGACCATGATGTCCTTCTGGAGAGGGTGGTTGTCCTCTGTTGACCATGATGTCCTTCTGGACAGACTGGAGAGGTGGGTTGCCTCTGTTGACCATGATGTCCTGCTGGAGAGGTGGGGTCGGCCTCTGTTGACCATGATGTCCTTCTGGACAGACTGGAGAGGTGGTTGGCCTCTGTTGACCATGATGTCCTTCTGGACAGACTGGAGAGGTGGTTGGCCTCTGTTGACCAGATTTCCTTCTGGAGAGATGGGTTGGCCTCTGTTGACCATGATGTCCTTCTGGAAAAGGGGGTTGGCCTCTGTTGACCATGATGTCCTTCTGGACGACCATGAGTTTTGGGGTTGGCCTCTGTTGACCATGATGTCCTTCTTTGGGCAGACAGGAGAGGTGGGTTGGCCTCTGTTGACCATGATGTCCTTCTGGACAGACTGGAGAGGTGGGTTGGCCTCTGTTGACCATGATTCCTTTCCCCCTTTGGACAGACTGGAGAGGTGGTTGGCCTCTGTTGACCATGATGTCCTTCTGGACAGACTGGAGAGGTGGTTGGCTCTTTCCGGTCCTTTCAACTTGGTTTATGGACCTTTTTCTACCCGACAGAGGGTTGTTTGTCCCAATTCTAAATTGGAAAATAGGACCTTTTTAACCAGTCAAGAGTTTTTTGTCACCCTTGGTGAACATAACTCAGAGAAAATACATATCACGTGGTGTTCCACAAGGTTAGATTTTCGGTCCGGTACTGTTCAGTTAATATACAGTGCATTCGGAAAGTATTCAGACCCCTTGACTTTTACAGCCTTATTTTAAAATGGATTTAATCGTTTTTTTTTTTTTTTTCCCCTCATCAATCTACACACAATACCCCCATAATGACAAAGCAAAAACAGGTTTTAGAATTTTTTGCAAATGTATAAAATAATGAAATGACATTTACATAAGTATTCAGACCCTTTACTCAGTACTTTGTTGAAGCACCTTTGGCAGCGATTACATCCTCGTCTTCTTGGGTATGACGCTACAAGCTTGGCACACCTGTATTTGGGGAGTTTCTCCCATTCTTCTCTGCAGATCCTCTCAAGCTCTATCAGGTTGTCAGGTTGGATGGGGAGCGTCGCTGCACAGCTATTTTCAGGTCTCTCCAGAGATGTTCGATCGGGTTCAAGTCCAGGCTCTGGCTGGGCCACTCAAGGACATTCAGAGACTTGTCCCGAAGCCACTCCTGCATTGTCTTGGCTTTGTGCTTAGGGTTGTTGTCCTGTTGGAAGGTGAACCTTCGCCCCAGTCTGTGAACCTGCTCCAGAGCGCTCAGGACTTCATCAAGGATCTCTCTGTACTTTGCTCCGTTCATTCTTGGTGGAGTGCTGCATAGATGATTGTCCTTCTGGAAGGTTCTCCCATCTCCACAGAGGAACTCTGGTGCTCTGTCAGAGTGACCATCGGGTTCTTGGTCACCTCCCTGACCAAGGCCCTTCTCCCACAATTGCTCATTTTGGCCGGGCGGCCAGCTCTAGGAAGAGTCTTGGTGGTTCCAAACTTCTTCCATTTAAGAATGATGGAGGCCACTGTGTTCTTGGGGACCTTCAATGCTGCACACATTTTTTGGTACCCTTCCCCAGATCTGTGCCTCGACACAATCCTGTCTCGGAGCTCTACGAACAATTCCTTCGACCTCATGACTTGGTTTTTGCTCTAACATGCACTGTCAACTGTAGGACCTTATATAGACAGGTGTGTGCCTTTCCTAATCATGTCCAATCAATTGAATTTTCCACAGGTGGACTCCAATCAAGTTTTAGAAACATCTCAAGAATGATCAATGGAAACAGGATGCACCTGAGCTCAATGTCGAGTCTCATTACAAAGGGTCTGAATACTTATGTAAATAAGGTATTTCTGTTTTAATTTTGTAATACATTAGCAAATATTTCTAAACCTGTTTTTGCTTTGTCATTATGGGGTATTGTGTGTAAATTGAGGAAAAATTGTAATTTAATCAATTTTAGAGTAAGGCTGTAACGTAACAAAATGTGGGAAAAGTGAAGGGGTCTGAATACTTTCTGAATGCACTGTATGTTACCCCTTGCCAGCATTATCAGAAAGCACAGCATTGATTGTGACTGCTACGCAGACGATACACAACTTTACATTTCTGTGTCTCCAGAGGATTTTAGCTCCACGGATAAATTATTAGGCTGTATTAGTGATTTAAACGCTTGGATGGCTCACAACTTCCTCCAGCTAAATCAAGACAAGACTGAGGTACTTATAGTTGGAGCCAAAGCACAGAGAGAGAATCTGGCCGCAGATTTTAATTCACAGGCAATAAAGATAAAACATCAGGTAAAAACCCAGGTGTTATTTTAGATTCTGAACTCAATTTAGAATCGCACATCAGGAATGTGACCAAAATAGCTTTTTACCACCTGAGGAACATTGCCAAGGTGCGGCCGTTTCTCTCTCAGGCTGATACAGAGAGACTCATCCATGCGTTTATTACAAGCAGGCTTGACTACTGTAATGCTCACCTGTCTGGTCTACCCAAGAAAGGCATTGGTCAACTGCAAAACATACAGAATGCTGCAGCACGGGTACTGACCAAGACCAGACGGAGAGCACACATTACACCGGTTATAAGGTCTCTGCACTGGCTGCCTGTGAGTTTTAGAATTAATTTAAAGATTCTTCTATTGGTTTTTAAATCAATCCACGATTGTGCACCCCAATACATGCAGACATGCTTTTAAGTGATGTACCCAGTAGGTCCCTCAGGTCCTCTGGCACTGGCCTTTTAACGATCCCAAACCCAGGACCAAGAGGCATGGCGAGGCAGCCTTTAGTTACTATGCCCCCAGCCTCTGGTATAGCCTGACAGAGAACCTGATGGGGGCCGACACTGTGGACATATTTGAATATTTTAGTTTTTATTTTCATTGTTTTTATTCGTTTTTGACCTGTGAAGCACATCGTGTTGCGTTCAATGTCTGAAATGTGCTGTATAAATAAAGCTTGATTTGATCTTGTCTCTCCCCCTCTCTCTCTCCCCCTCTCTCTCCCCCTCTCGCTCTCCCCCTCTCTCTCTCCCCCTCTCTCTCTCCCCCTCTCTCTCTCCCCCCTCTCTCTCTGCCCCTCTCGCTCTCTCTCCAGACATAGTGAAACATGTTGTGAAGGACTACAGGAACATCTACCCTGAGATAATAAAGAGGGTGGGCCGTGTGTTTGAGACGGTGTTTGGGCTGAAGCTGGTGGAGATCGACTCTAAGAACCACATATACATCCTCATCAACAAACTGGAGCAGCTGGAGGGAGAACCTCTCAACATGTAGGTCACTGAACCCCTCAACATGTAGGTCACTGACCCCCTCAACATGTAGGTCACTGACCCCCTCAACATGTAGGTCACTGACCCCCTCAACATGTAGGTCACTGACCCCCTCAACATGCAGGTCACTGACCCCCTCAACATGCAGGTCACTGAACCTCTCAACATGTAGGTCACTGACCCCCTCAACATGCAGGTCACTGACCCCCTCAACATGTAGGTCACTGAACCTCTCAACATGTAGGTCACTGACCCCCTCAACATGTAGGTCACTGAACCTCTCAACATGTAGGTCACTGAACCTCTCAACATGTAGGTCACTGACCCCCTCAACATGTAGGTCACTGAACCTCTCAACATGCAGGTCACTGACCCCCTCAACATGTAGGTCACTGACCCCCTCAACATGTAGGTCACTGAACCCCTCAACATGTAGGTCACTGACCCCTCACATGTAGTCACTGACCCCTCAACATGTAGGTCATGACCCTCACATGTAGGTCACTGACCCCCTCAACATGCAGGTCCTGACCCCCTCAACATGTAGGTCACTGAACTCTCAACATGTAGGTCACTGAACCTCACATGAGGTCACTGACCCTCAACATGGTGGGTCACTGACCCCCTCAACATGTAGGTCACTGACCCTCAAACATGTAGTCATGGACCCTCAACATGTAGGTCACTGACCCTCAACATGTAGGTCACTGACCCTCAACATGTAGGTCACTGACCCCTCAACATGTAGGTCACTGACCCCTCAACATGCAGGTCACTGACCCCTCAACATGCAGGTCACTGAACCTCTCAACATGTAGGTCACTGACCCTCACAGCAGGTCACTGACCCCTCACATGAGGTCACTGAACCTCTCAACATGTAGGTCACTGAACCTCTCAACATGTAGGTCACTGTGTGGAGCAGCTAGTGGGAGAACCTCCTCCCCCATCCAGGGGGTGTACTGTACATCAAGCTGTCTCCCTACAGAAACAGGAGATGGACTAGTGTCCTGTCCAGGGGGTGTACTGTACATCAAGCCGTCTCCCTACAGAAACAGGAGATGGACTAGTGTCCTGTCCAGGGGGTGTACTGTACATCAAGCCGTCTCCCTACAGAAACAGGAGATGGACTAGTGTCCTGTCCAGGGGGTGTACTGTACATCAAGCCGTCTCCCTACAGAAACAGGAGATGGACTAGTGTCCTGTCCAGGGGGTGTACTGTACATCAAGCTGTCTCACTACAGAAACAGGAGATAGACTAGTGTCCTGTCCAGGGGGTGTACTGGTACATCAAGCTGCCTCACCTTACAGAAACAGGAGATAGACTAGTGTCCTGTCCAGGGGGTGTACTGTACATCAAGCTGTCTCACTACAGAAACAGGAGATAGACTAGTGTCCTGTCCAGGGGGTGTACTGGTACATCAAGCCGTCTCCCTACAGAAACAGGAGATGGACTAGTGTCCTGTCCAGGGGGTGTACTGTACATCAAGCTGTCTCCCTACAGAAACAGGAGATGGACTAGTGTCCTGTCCAGGGGGTGTACTGGTACATCAAGCTGTCTCCCTACAGAAACAGGAGATGGACTAGTGTCCTGTCCAGGGGGTGTACTGTACATCAAGCTGTCTCCCTACAGAAACAGGAGATGGACTAGTGTCCTGTCCAGGGGGTGTACTGTACATCAAGCTGTCTCCCTACAGAAACACTACTATTTCTTGTACAAGGCTACATATATGGATGTTTACCTGTGTGTGTGTGTATGTGTGTATATACAGGAGTCCCAGTAATCCAAAGACCGGTCTACTCTTCGTAATCCTCAGCATCGTCTTCATGAAGGGGGGTGTGGTCAAGGAGAGTGAGTGTTCCGTTGGCCCTATCCCACTTCTGACACCAGTGTAGCCAATTTGGGGCAAAATAGGGGGCCACAACTGTATTTTTGTAAAAAATAAATATTTTCCAATTCCTGTCTGTCCACCCCACTTATTGATGTCCCCCCCTCACTGAGATGTCCCATCATGCTTTGTGTTTGTAGGTATGGTGTGGAACACACTGAAGAAGCTGAGAGTTGATCCAGGGTAAGTGTGTGTAGCTTAGCAGTATAGCTTCCTTCACCGTCCCGTCACTGGGTTCCATCCTCTGCTTCTTCCTTCACCGTCCCGGCCCGTCACTGGGTTCCATCCTCTGCTTCTTCCTTCACCGTCCCGGCCCGTCACTGGGTTCCATCCTCTGCTTCTTCCTTCACCGTCCCGTCACTGGGTTCCATCCTCTGCTTCTTCCTTCACCGTCCCGTCACTGGGTTCCATCCTCTGCTTCTTCCTTCACCGTCCCGGCCCGTCACTGGGTTCCATCCTCTGCTTCTTCCTTCACCGTCCCGGCCCGTCACTGGGTTCCATCCTCTGCTTCTTCCTTCACCGTCCCGGCCCGTCACTGGGTTTCATCCTCTGCTTCTTCCTTCACCGTCCCGTCACTGGGTTCCATCCTCTGCTTCTTCCTTCACCGTCCCGGCCCGTCACTGGGTTCCATCCTCTGCTTCTTCCTTCACCGTCCCGTCACTGGGTTCCATCCTCTGCTTCTTCCTTCACCGTCCCGTCACTGGGTTCCATCCTCTGCTTCTTCCTTCACCGTCCCGGCCCGTCACTGGGTTCCATCCTCTGCTTCTTCCTTCACCGTCCCGGCCCGTCACTGGGTTCCATCCTCTGCTTCTTCCTTCACCGTCCCGTCACTGGGTTCCATCCTCTGCTTCTTCCTTCACCGTCCCGGCCCGTCACTGGGTTCCATCCTCTGCTTCTTCCTTCACCGTCCCGGCCCGTCACTGGGTTCCATCCTCTGCTTCTTCCTTCACCGTCCCGGCCCGTCACTGGGTTCCATCCTCTGCTTCTTCCTTCACCGTCCCGGCCCGTCACTGGGTTCCATCCTCTGCTTCTTCCTTCACCGTCCCCGTCACTGGGTTCCATCCTCTGCTTCTTCCTTCACCGTCCCGGCCCGTCACTGGGTTCCATCCTCTGCTTCTTCCTTCACCGTCCCGGCCCGTCACTGGGTTCCATCCTCTGCTTCTTCCTTCACCGTCCCGGCCCGTCACTGGGTTCCATCCTCTGCTTCTCAAACACACGTACTTATGTCCAGTTGCGCCACAGAAAGACATTCAAGCTGTGGAGTGAGGTTAAAGGTTAAAGGATGATCTGTGTGTTAACTGTTGTGATTTCCCCCCCCCCCCCCCAGGGAGAGACACGAAATCTTTGGAGACGTGAAGAAGGTCGTTACTGATGAGTTTGTCCGTCAGAGGTGAGTCTCTCTCCACTCCATGATCAGTCTATACTTTTAATGGTAGGTTTATTTGAACAGTGAGAGACAGAATAACAACTAAAAAATCCAGAAAAATGCATGTCAAAAATGTTATAAATTGATTTGCATTTTAATGAGGGAAATAAGTATTTGACCCCTCTGCAAAACATGACTTAATACTTGGTAGCAAAACCCTTGTTGGCAGGAGGGATTTTGTCCCACTCCTCTTTGCAGATCTTCTCGAAGTCATTAAGGTTTCGAAGCTGACGTTTGGCAACTCGAACCTTCAGCTCCCTCCACAGATATTCTATGGGATTAAGGTCTGGAGACTGGCTAGGCCACTCCAGGACCTTAATGTGCTTATTCTTGAGCCACTCCTTTGTTGCCTTGGCCATGTGTTTTGGGTCATTGTCATGCTGGAATACCCATCCACAACCCATTTCCAATGCCCTGGCTGAGGGAAGGAGGTTCTCACCCATGATTTGACGGTACATGGCCCCGTCCATCGTCCCTTTGATGCGGTGAAGTTGTCCTGTCCCCTTAGCAGAAAAACACCCCCAAAGCATAATGTTTCCACCTCCATGTTTGATGGTGGGGATGGTTTCTTGGGGTCATAGGCAGCATTCCTCCTCCTCCAAACATGGCGAGTTGAGTTGATGCCAAAGAGCTCGATTTTGGTCTCATCTGACCACAACACTTTTACCCAGTTCTCCTCTGAATCATTCAGATGTTCATTGGCAAACTTCAGACGGGCCTGTATATGTGCTTTCTTGAGCAGGGGGACCTTGTGGGCGCTGCAGGATTTCAGTCCTTCACGGCGTAGTGTGTTACCAATTGTTTTCTTGGTGACTATGGTCCCAGCTGCCTTGAGATCATTGACAAGATCCTCCCGTGTAGTTCTGGGCTGATTCCTCACCGTTCTCATGATCATTGCAACTCCACGAGGTGAGATCTTGCATGGAGCCCCAGGCCGAGGGAGATTGACAGTTCTTTTGTGTTTCTTCCATTTGCGAATAATCGGACCATCGGTTGTCACCTTCTCACCAAGCTGCTTGGCGATGGTCTTGTAGCCCATTCCATTCTTGTGTAGGTCTACAATCTTGTCCCTGACATCCTTGGAGAGCTCTTTGGTCTTGGCCATGGTGGAGAGTTTGGAATCTGATTGATTGATTGCTTCTGTGGACAGGTGTCTTTTTATACAGGTAACAAACTGAGATTAGGAGCACTCCCTTTAAAAGTGTGCTCCTAATCTCAGCTCGTTACCTGTATAAAAGACACCTGGGAGCCAGAAATCTTTCGGATTGAGAAGGGGTCATATACTTATTTCCCTAATTGAAATGCAAATCAATGTATAACATTTTTGACATGCGTTTTTCTGGATTTTGTTGTTGTTATTCTGTCTCTCACTGTTCAAATAAACCTACCATTAAAATGATAGACTGATCATTTCTTTGTCAGTGGGCAAACGTACAAAATCAGCAGGGGATCGAATACCTTTTTCCCTCCCTGTATCTGTGTGTGATAACCAGAGACTGACTGAGTAGTCGACTTTATAAAATGTGCTGATCTATTCTTGGACCTCTGGTATTTCTCTAAATACTTTTTACCCATCAATTGATTCAACTACCCATCAATTGATTCAACTACCCATCAAATGATTCAACTACCCATCAAATGATTCAACTACCCATCAAATGATTCAACTACCCGTCAAATGATTCAACTACCCGTCAAATGATTCAACTCCCCGTCAAATGAATAGACTAAACTTGTGTGTAGGTATCTGGAGTATGTGCGAATCCCACACACGGAGCCGTTGGAGTTTGAGTTCCGTTGGGGTCAGAGGGCGGACATGGAGGTGTCAAAGGTCAAAGTACTGGAGTTCATTGGACAGGTGAGACACTGCCGCCTCCTGTTTGACATTAATGAATGTGTTCAATAGGTTTCTCTGGTCTATAGTAGTAAATGCCAAATTCTCTCTCTCTCTCTCTCTCTCTATATATATATATATATATATATATATATATATATATATAATATATTTATTATTATTATTATTTTGGGGAGACCTAAAGGGGTCCTAAAATTCCAACTCAAATAGTCAAATGATCCATAGTATCTTAAAACAATTCCATATGTCAGCTTAGCTTACAAATTCTGCATTTATATAAAAGTCAACAACAAACAGATAAAACACATTATTTAGCTATTAACATTTAATTTAATTTAATATGCCATTTAGCAGACGCTTTTATCCAAAGCGACTTACAGTCATGCATGCATACATTTTTGTGTATGGGTGGTCCCGGGGATCGAACCCACTACCTTGGCGTTACAAGCGCCGTGCTCTACCAGCTGAGCTACAGAGGACCAGTGATTTATAGATGACCTGGAGCCAGTGGGTTTGGCGACGAATATGTAGTGAGGGCCAGCCAACGAGAGCATACAGGTCACAATGGTGGGTAGTATATGGAAGCTTTGGTGACAAAACGGATGGCACTGTGATAGACTACATCCAATTTGCTGAGTAGAGTGTTGGAGGCTATTTTGTAAATGACATCGCCGAAGTCAAGGATCGATAGGATAGTCAGTTTTACGAGGGCATGTTTGGCAGCATGAGTGAAGGAGGCTTTGTTGCGAAATAGGAAGCCGATTCTAGATCTAACTTTGGATTGGAGATTCTTTATGTGAGTCTGGAAGGAGAGTTTACGGTCTAACCAGACACCTAGGTATTTGTAGTTGTCCACAAATTCAGACCCCTTGACTTTTTCCACATTTTGTTACGTTACAGCCTTATTCTAAAATTGATTAAATTCATTTTTTCCCTCAATCTACATACAGTACCCGATAATGACAAAGCGAAAACAGGTTTTTTGAAATGTTAGCAAATTTATTAAAAATGTAAAACTGAAATATTACATTTACATACGTATTCAGACTCTTTGCTATGAGACTCGAAATTGAGCTCAGGTGCATCCTGTTTCAATTGGTCATCCTTGAGATATTTCTACAACTTGATTGGAGTCTACCTGTGGTAAATTCAATTGATTGGACATGATTTGGAAAGGCACACACCTGTCTATATAAGGTCCCACAGTTGACAGTGCATGTCAGAGCAAAAACCAAGTCATGAGGTCGAAGGAATTGTCCGTAGAGCTCTGAGACAGGATTGTGTCGAGGCACAGATCTGGGGAAGGGTACCAAAACATTTCTGCTGCATTGAAGGTCGCCAAGAACACAGTGGCCTCCATCATTCTTAAATGGAAGACGTTTGGAACCACCAAGACTCTTTCTAGAGCTGGCCGCCCGGCCAAACTGAGCAATTGGGGGAGAAGGGCCTTGGTCAGGGAGGTGACCAAGAACCCGATGGTCACTCTGACAGAGCTCCTCTGTGGAGATGGGAGAACCTTCCAGAAGGACAACCATCTCTGCAGCACTCCACCAATCAGGCCTTTATGGTAGAGTGACCAGACGGAAGCCACTCCTCAGTAAAAGGCACATGACAGCCCGCTTGGAGTTTGCCAAAAGGCACCTAAAGGACTCTCAGACCATGAGAAACAAGATTCTCTGGTCTGATGAAACCAAGATTGAACTCTTTGGCCTGAATGCTAAGCGTCACGTCTGGAGGAAACCTGGCACCATCCCTACGGTGAAGCATGGTGGTGGCAGCATCATGCTGTGGGGATGTTTTTCAGAGGCAGACTGGGAAGATAGTCAGGATCAAGGGAAAGATGAACAGAGCAAAGTACAGAGTACTGAGTAAAAGGTCTGAATACTTATGTAAATGTGATATTTCAGTTTATTTTAAATACATTTGATAACATTTCTAAAAACCTGTTTATGCTTTGTAATAATGGGGTATGGTGTGTAGATTTGATGGGAAAAAACAATTGAATCCATTTTAAAATAAGGCTGTAACATAACAAAATGTGGAAAAAGTCAAGGGGTCTATATACCTTCCGAATGCACTGTATAATTGTATATGTGGGGTACAGGGATGGGGTAGTTATTCAAAAATCATGTTAGCCACTATTATTGAACACGGAATGAGTCCGTGCAACTTATTATGCTCTTTGCTAAGCACATTTTTACTCCTAAACGTATTTAGGCTTAATATAACAAAGTGGTTGAATACTTATTGACTCAAGACATTTCAGTTTTTAATTTTAATAAATGTCTACAAATAAAATTCCACTGTCATTATGGGGTATTGTGTGTAGATCAGTGACACAATCTCAATTTAATCTATTTTAAATTCAGGCTGAAACACAACAACATGTGGAAAAAGCGGTGTGAACACTTTCTGTAGGCGCCGTTTCTCTTCATTGAGCAGAGCGGCCCAACTGGGAACCGTTGCTATGGAAACTCCCTCCGAGCCGCCATGAGCAGGCAGAACGAGCTGCCTGTGGCAGGGAGCGATCGGGTGACAGACAGACAGACAGGAGCAGCTAATGGATTTACTAACGGAGGAAGTTATTTCTGGTTTCAGCAGGACCTTGCCTTAAATTTGGCAGAAGCAATTGGGCCAGGGTAGGGTAGGGCCTGAACGTCGAGGGCATGGGTAGGGCTTAAAATGAATGCCTGTTCAGGGCTCTGCCTACTTGCTTCGTCCTCCTTCTCAGGATCGTGCTATGGGCTCTAAATAACTCAACTGGCTAGTTTGCCTGTCTGTAAAGAAAAGGGCGGGGTGTACCCCTCTGATTGGATAGAGAGAAGCTCCTCCTCCGATCACTCGCTTCATACTTCACTCGATAACTTCTCATCGCACTTTGTTCAACTCCTGACCCACAAAACTCCTGACCCACAAAACTACTGAAGCATACACATAATTGAAGGGAAAATCCAACCAAAACTACTAATTCCTATAATTTACAGTGTTAAATAACACTAATATGTGAACAATTATTTTGGTGAACAAATGTTTCATTTTGGCATTATAAGGTTGGCAGCAACGTGAAAATTGATGTGGAAATCTGTAGCAGCTCAAGTCGACTACAAAATCCACAATGCAATGCTGTCTATGGGCTGGCTGGCTAGCTAGCAAACGTAGCTACACACAATAATACCAAAGACAATATCAGCATGTGAAGTAGCTAGTTAGCTGTAAAATCGCCAAAAAAAACTGCACTATCAATTTAGGAGTCTACAATCTCACCATGTTTAACCTGCAGATCGATGTGCCTCACAGAGTGGAGTCTGACATTTGCAATGGCAGAGATACTTTTGAGGAAATGGGAAACTCCATTGGAATTGTATTAACGCCCATTGTGTACTTTTCCCATGCTACGTCAATGTGCCGCGCAGTGCATTCTGGGACAAGGAGTGAATGGGAGTCAATTGGGCGCTAGCTCAAAAACCCAACATTAGCATGAATTTTGTCAACAAGAAGTACAACATCATACATCTTTTCAGAGATGTGAAATAATTAACTTGATATCTGTAATATTGTATAGCGTTGGGATCGTGACATTTACGTACTTTCGAGGAAAATAGGCATGTTTCTCGACTCATACCCTGACTTTGAGAAGGGATTGCGTGACACAGCATGACAACATGAACGCGATTGGTCGACAGTCTGCTGGGTGGGGTGTTATCCGTTCCTCCATTAATGCCCAATGGGATTCCTGTCTCCTTTCTCTAATATCTCTGGCAACGGCACCATGCAATGCACCCTGGACTGAAGAGGCAGACAAATAGGAGAAAGGTGCTAGACCCTCTTAAATTACATATTTCTCAAGGTGGGAATATCGCAAAAATATGACCAATGGCTCATTTCGAGAGAAGACATCTTCCCGAGTTATGACGTCGTCCAGTATTGAAATCTGGTGATAGTCGTTTTCGCAATCTATTTTTTCTCCTTCCTATTAACTTCGTGTAGCGAGAGCGGCTTTATCACTACGTCATACTGGCCGAATTTCTGTGTGCTTGAACACCAATAACTCAAGATACAGATGAAAACATGAAATGACCCAGGGAATCAATAGAACATCACTCAGAGATGCACAAAAACAATATAACATTCAAAATGGGTGAATCTTTACTTAAACTATTTTATGGCCTATTTATTGCCTTACCTCCATAACTTACTACATTTGCACACACTGTATATAGATTTTCTGTTGTGTTATTGACTTTGTTTTGTTTTACCCCATATGTAACTCTGTGTTGTTGTTTTTATCGCACTGCTTTGCTTTATCTTGGCCAGGTCGCAGTTGTAAATGAGAACTTGTTCTCAACTGGCTTACCTGGTTAAATAAAGGTGAAATAAAATTTTAAAAAACGTTTAAAAAAACTACTGAGCCACAACTACAAAACTACTGAACCGCAACTATTGACCACAACACCAATCCTGCCCACAACTACTGACCACAGCTGTTGACCACAACTACTGACCACAACCACTAAACTACTGACCACAACTACACATCTACTGAACCGCAACTATTGACCACAACACCAATCCTGCCCACAACTACTGACCACAATTACTGGCCACAACTACTGACCACAATACCACTAAACTACTGACCACAACTACTGACCACAATACCACTCCTGACCACAATTACTGGTCACAACTACAGACCACACACTTAGTATTTGACTTCTTCTGCACGCTCTAGAAAACAATTTAAGATATTAACATGAAACCAACTTCCAAATGTCCAGACTGACCTAACTCAGATTGCTTGGGATTTTTATTTATTTTTTTACAGCATTTTCACTTTTTGAATTACCAATGTAATGAGCTCCCATACATTTAAATGAAAAATGGCCCATATACTTGATGTAAAACACTGGCAAATAATGGCCATGGAGACTGAAATGAGAAATCAACCACATTGGATGATAGACTAACTTGGCCTTCTTTCACATTTGTCTAAAGCTATCAACTCAAACCAACAGTGGGATGTTTAAGACTGACCCAACTTAGAAGCTATCAACTCCAAACCAACATTGGGATGTTTAGACTGACCCAACTTAGAAGCTATCAACTCCAAACCAACATTGGGATGTTTAGACTGACCCAACTTAGAAGCTATCAACTCCAAACCAACATTGGGATGTTTAGACTGACCCAACTTAGATTACTTGCATTCAGATGTTTGATACCATTTATAGTGCATAAATGAACATTTTGAATGAGAGCCATAGACATACAGAGATAGCTATTTAAAACGGTCCTTGGCCAGCTAAGCTAGCTAGAAGAACAACTTTAAAACCTTTAGGCTATCCTTACTTCAAATTCTTTAAAACTTTTATCAACTATAACTATGGGATTTACATCAAATAACCCACCAACAGTAACTCCTGAACCATTCAAGCTAGAGACCCCAAACCAACTTTCTCATGTTCAGGCTATCCTAAATTCAAATTATTTTAAAATATTGATCTATAACGATATATACATTTGCATAAAATAACTTGCCAACAGTAACTCTTGGACTGTTTTAAGCTAGATACACCAAACTAAATTTCACATGTTCAGGCTATTTTATCATATCCAGTCATTCAATCAATCAATCTTTTCATCTATAACCAGTGCTATAATGTGTTACTTTAAACCAGCAAACACACCACATTTTCTTCAGGAAGTGTACTTTTCTAGTTTATAGAATTTTTCTGAAATTAATTAATTTTACTTTGAAATTGTGGAGTAGATTGTGGGGGGTGGGGGGGGATCTTTATTTAATCTCTTTTTAGATTAGAAATGTAACGCAACAAAATGTAAACTTTGCAAAGGTGTGTAGACTTTCACTAGGCACTGTAGCTATATAACTGAGGTTGTCCTCTCTCCTGTCTGTCCTCTCTCCTGTCTGTCCTCTCTCCTGTCTGTCCTCTCTCCTGTCTGTCCTCTCTCCTGTCTGTCCTCTCTCCTGTCTGTCCTCTCTCCTGTCTGTCCTCTCTCCTGTCTGTCCTCTCGCCTGTCTGTCCTCTCTCCTGTCTGTCCTCTCTCCTGTCTGTCCTTCGTCGTCCCTGTCCTCTCTCTGTCACTGTCCCTCTCCCGCCCTGTCTGTCCTCTCTCCTGTCTGTCCTCCTCTCCTGTCTTTCCTCTCTCCTGTCCGTCCTCTCCCTGTCTGTCCCTCTCTCCGGTCTGTCCCCTCTTCTCCTGTCTGTCCTCTCTCCTGTCTGTCCTCTCTCCTGTCTGTTAGCTCCATGGACAGGATCCTCAGAGCTGGGACTCAGCAGTACAGAGAAGCCACCGCCCCTCCCGCCGCCCCGGCAGTTATCACCTCCGCTAACACGAGCGCCAGCGCTAGCCAGAGATAGAGATACTCCCCTCTGTTGGACTGTTCTGTCAGTGAAAGAAGAAGAGTGAATCACAGACCAGTTCATTCAGTCATTGTTATATTCATTTAAGGTGACATTGTTTTTAATTTGTCAAGTCCAACAATAAAATGATTTTGTACTAATTTTATTTACCCTCAATGTCTCCGTCTTTGTTGGTAGATCTGCAAGACGGTGGGACCTGGTTCTACCTATCCAGACCGTTCAGATATACAAACATTGAAGGGTTAAGGTCAAGGGGATCGAATTGGGACTGGCTTGCTTTTCTTTTACACACATTAAGACTCACACAAGGAGACGATTTAGTCGTGTTTTGGTTATGCATAGTCCCCGTTTATTAGTAGATGTGGGGTTAATTACTAAGATCGATAAGATACACGACGCAACAAGCAGGTACAATAGCAGCCAGTACACCCCTCCCTCCCCCAGTGGATTTCTGTTCATGCGACTCCGTGCAGCCAATGGCAACGCCCGCTTCAGGTATAACGCCAGGAGCCGCTTGTGGATTTGACAGCACTAACTCAGTTCCACCTCCAACAACACCAAAACAACCGCTATGCGAAGGTCAGCTAAAGCAGATCTGATTGAGTAAATCAAATCAAATGTTATTTGTCACATACACGTGTTTAGCAGATGTTATAGCGGGTGTAGCGAAATGCTTGTGCTTCTAGCTCCGACAGTGCAGTAATATCTAACAATTTCACAACATATACCCAATACACACTAATCTAGTAAGGAATGGGATTTAAGAATATATACATATATGGACAAGAAATGACAGAGCGGCATGGACTAAGATACAGTAGAATATTATAGAATGCAGTATATACATATGAGATGAGTAGTGCAAGATATGGAAACATTATTAAAGTGACTAGTGTTCCATTTCTTAAAGTGGCCAGTGATTTCAATAGGCAGCAGCAGCCTCTAATGTGCTAGTGATGGCTATTTAACAGTCTGATGGCCTTGAGATAGAAGCTGTTTTTCATTCTCTCTGTCCCAGCTTTGATGCACCTGTACTGACCTCGCCTTCTGGATGATAGCGGGGTGAACAGGCAGTGGCTCAGGTGGTTGATGTCCTTGAAGAGCTTTTTGGCCTTCCTGTGACATCGGGTGCTGTATGTGTCTTGGAGGGTGGGTAGTTTGCCCCTGATAATGCGTTCGGCAGACCGCACTACCCTCTGGAGAGCCCTGCGGTTGCGGGCGGTGCAGTTGCCGTACCAGGCGGTGATACAGCCCGACAGGATGCTCTCAATTGTGCATCTGTAAAGGTTTGTGAGGGTTTTAGGTGCCAAGCCGAATTTCTTCAGCCTCCTGAGGTTGAAGAGGCTCTGTTGCGCCTTCTTCACCACACTGTCTGCGTGGGTGGACCATTTCAGTTTGTCGGTGATGTGTACGCCAAGGAACTTGAAGCTTTTCACCTTCTCCACTGCGGTCCCGTCGATGTGGATATGGGGGTGCACCCTCTGCTGTTTTCTGAAGTCCACGATCATCTCCTTTGTTTTGTTGACGTTGAGTGAGAGGTTATTTTCCTGGCACCACACTCCCAGAGCCCTCACCTCCTCCCTGTAGGCGGTCTCATCATTGTTGGTAATCAAGCAGTCTGCAAACTTGATGATTGAATTGGAGGCGTGCCTGGCCACCCAGTCATGGGTGAACAGGGAGTACAGGAGGGGGCTGAGCACGCACCCTTGTGGGGCCCCAGTGTTGAGGATCAGCGAAGTGGAGATGTTGTTTCCTACCTTCACCACCTGGTGGCGGCCCGTCAGGAAGTCCAGGACCCAGTTGCACAGGGCGGGGTTCAGACCCAGGGCCTCGAGCTTAATGATGAGCTTGGAGGGTACTATGGTGTTGAATGCTGAGCTATAGTCAATGAACAGCATTCTTACATAGGTATTCCTCTTGTCCAGATGGGATAGGGCAGTGTGCAGTGTGATGGCGATTGCATCGTCTGTGGATCTATTGGGGCGGTAAGCAAATTGAAGTGGGTCTAGGGTGACAGGTAAGGTAGAGGTGACATGATCCTTGACTAGTCTCTCAAAGCACTTCATGATGACAGAGGTGAGCGCTACAGTGCGATAGTCATTTAGTTCAGTTACCTTTGCTTTCTTGGGTACAGGAACAATGGTGGCCATCTTGAAGCATGTGGGAACAGGGAGAGATTGAATATGTCCATAAACACACCAGCCAGCTGGTCTACGCATGCTCTGAGGACGCGGCTAGGGATGCCGTCTGGGCCGGCAGCCTTGCGGGGGTTAACATGCTTAAATGTCTTAATCACGTCGGCCACGGAGAAGGAGAGGCCACAGTCCTTGGTAGTGGGCCTCGTCAGTAGCACTGTGTTATCCTCAAAGCGGGTGAAGAAGGTGTTTAGCTTGTCTGGAAGCGAGACGTCGGTGTCGGCGACGTGGCTGGTTTTCCTTTTGTAGTCCGTGATTGTCTGTAGACCCTGCCACATACGTCTCGTGTCTGAGCCGTTGAATTGTGCCTCCACTTTGTCTCTATACTGATGTTTTGCCAGTTTAATTGCCTTGCGGAGTGAGTAGCTACACTGTTTGTATTCTGCCATATTCCCAGGCACCTTGCCATGGTTGAATGCGGTGGTTCACGCTTTCAGTTTTGCGCGAATGCTGCCATCTATCCACGGTTTCTGGTTAGGGTAGGTTTTAATAGTCACAGTGGGCACAACATCACCTATACACTTCCTGATAAACTCAGTCACCTTTTCAGTGTATTCGTCTAAATTATTTTCGGAAGCTACCCGGAACATATCCCAGTCCGCGTGATCAAAACAATCTTGAAGCGTGGATTCCGATTGGTCAGACCGGCGTTGAATAGTCCTTAGCACGGATATTTCCTGTTTGAGTTTCTGCCTATACGAAGGGAGGAGCAAAATGGAGTCATGGTCAGACTTGCCGAAAGGAGGGCGGGGGAGGGCCTTAGAACCATCCCGGAAGTTCGAATAGCAATGGTCGAGGATTTTAGCAGCGCGAGTACAACAGTCGATATGTTGATAGAACTTCGGCAGCCTAGTCCTCAAATTTGCTTTGTTAAAATCCCCTGCTACAATAAATGCAGCCTCAGGATATGTGGTTTCCAGTTTGCATAAAGTCCAGTGAAGTTCTTTGAGGGCCGTCGTGGTATCGGCTTGAGGGGGGATATACACGGCCGTGACTATAACCGAAGAGAATTATCTTGGGAGATAATACGGTCGGCATTTGATTGTGAGATATTCTAGGTCGGGTGAACAAAAGTACTCGAGTTCCTGTATGTTACTACAATTACACCATGAGTCGTTAATCATGAAACACACACCTCCGCCCTTCTGCTTCCCGGAGAGATATTTATTCCTGTCTGTGCGATGAACTGAGAACCCGTCTGGCTGGACCGATTTCGACAGAATATCCCCAGAGAGCCATGTTTCCATGAAACAAAGTATGTTACAGGCCTTGATGTCTCTCTGGAAAGAAATCCTTGCCCGGAGTTCGTCGAACTTGTTAACCAAAGACTGAACATTAGCGAGTAGTATACTTGGAAGCGGTGGGTGGTGTGCGCGCCTCCTAAGTCGAACCAGCAGGCCGCTCCGAGTGCCTCTCCTCCGCCGGCGATGTTTTGGGTCAGCCGCTGGAATCAGTTCAATTGCCCTGGGGAGAGCAAATAAAGGATCTGCTTCGGGAAAGTCGTATTCCTGGTCGTAATGCTGGTGAGTTACCACCGCTCTGATATCCAATAATTTTCCCCGGCTGTATTTATTGATACAAAACACTTTCTGAGCTAATAATGTAAAAAATAATACATAAAAATACTGCAAAGTTTCCTAAGAGGTAGTCGTAAGGCTGCCATTCTCGTCAGCGCCCGGTTCAGTCCGGAGTTAGGGAATAGAGCCCTAACTGAAGAGAGCAGCAGATCTGATTGAATAGAGCCCTAACTGAAGAGAGCAGCAGATCTGATTGAATAGAGTCCTAACTGGAGAGAGCAGCAGATCTGATTGAATAGAGCCCTAACTGAAGAGAGCAGCAGATCTGATTGAATAGAGCCTTAACTGAAGAGAGCAGCATATTTGATTGAATAGAGCCCTAACTGGAGAGCGCAGCAGATCTGATTGAATAGAGCCCTAACTGGAGAGCGCAGCAGATCTGATTGAATAGAGCCCTAACTGGAGAGAGCAGCAGATCTGATTGAATAGAGCCCTAACTGGAGAGAGCAGCAGATCTGATTGAATAGAGCCCTAACTGGAGAGAGCAGCAGATCTGATTGAATGAGCCCTAACTGAAGAGAGCAGCAGATCTGATTGAATAGAGCCCTAACTGGAGAGAGCAGCAGATCTGATTGAATAGAGCCCTAACTGGAGAGAGCAGCAGATCTGATTGAATAGAGCCCTAACTGAAGAGCGCAGCAGATCTGATTGAATAGAGCCCTAACTGAAGAGAGCAGCAGATCTGATTGAATAGAGCCCTAACTGAAGAGCGCAGCAGATCTGATTGAATAGAGCCCTAACTGAAGAGAGCAGCAGATCTGATTGAATAGAGCCCTAACTAAAGAGCGCAGCAGATCTGATTGAATAGAGCCCTAACTGAAGAGCGCAGCAGATCTGATTGAATCGAGCCATAACTGAAGAGAGCAGCAGATCTGATTGAATAGAGCCCTAACTGGAGAGAGCAGCATATCGGATTGAATAGAGCCCTAACTGGAGAGAGCAGCAGATGTGATTGAATAGAGCCCTAACTGAAGAGAGCAGCAGATCTGATTGAATAGAGCCCTAACTGGAGAGAGCAGCAGATCTGATTGAATAGAGCCCTAACTGAAGAGAGCAGCAGATCTGATTGAATAGAGCCCTAACTGAAGAGCGCAGCAGATCTGATTGAATAGAGCCCTAACTGAAGAGCGCAGCAGATCTGATTGAATAGAGCCCTAACTGGAGAGAGCAGCAGATCTGATTGAATAGAGCCCTAACTGAAGAGCGCAGCAGATCTGATTGAATA